GGGGCGGGGCTGGAGGGGGCGGGGCCCCTGCGGCGTCTGGAGCCCGCCCCCCGCAATAAACATTCCACTTTTCCTGACTCTGTGCAGCGCTCCTGTGCGCACAGCGGTTAAGAGCGTGGACTCCGGCGTCGGGTTCGAATCCCAGCTCCACCGCTTTCTAGCTCGGTCACTTTGGACATGTCACTTAACCTCTCTGGGCCTCAGTTTCCCCATCCCTCAAGCGGTCCAGAACAAGGGTCCCCACCTCACAGGGTTGTGTGGGGGTTCTGCTCTGAGTTAGTGTTTGCAAACGGCAGTGGGCTAGACCCTTTTGCCAAATACGCTCGCACCTTTAGAATTAACCACCCTTTCAAGGATAAGGAAACTGAAGATCAGAGAGGGGCAGCCCCTTGCCTGAGGACACACAGTAAAGAAATTTGGCATTCAGGCCCGGCTGTGGTCCCAGGATTTTCTTCAAGCCAGCAGGAGAAGATGTGCGTTATAATAGTTCAGGCTTTGCCGGGGTTCGAATCCCAACTCTACCTGAAGCCACTTGCTGAATTCTGAGCCCCATTGCTTCATGGGAACAGGGGTAGCCACCTCCAAGGGCTGCCTCAGGGATGAACTGAGATGACGTGCATCGGTCAGGAAGGGCCAGCACATGCTCAGTGACTGGCAGCCCCAAAGCTTCCACAGCCCCCACACCCAAAGTTTGCTTCTGGCTCACACCAGTCATCGTCACGAAGGGAAAAATGTGGCAAATCACATGCTGGCTGGCACACTTCTCTTTGGAAGTGACTTGTGCTGCCTCTGCTCACATTTCATTAGCCAAAGCAAGGCAAGGGGCCACCCCCAATGTCAATGGGCTGGGAAATACGATTGTCCCCTAGGGATCAGAACCAGCTATTGTTACGATTGTACACGGTACGTGCAGTGGTGAGCACCACTCCCAGCACACAGCAGGTGTTCAAAAAATGAGCACCATTAGGGCCCAGCCTGGTGGCCTAGTGGTTAAGTTCGTGTGCTCCACTTCAGTGGCCCGGGGTTCGCAGGTTTGGATCCCGGGCACACACCAATGCACCACTCATCAAGCTATGCTGTGTTGGCGTCCCACATACAAAATAGAGGATGATGGGGACAGATGTTAGCTCAGGGCCAATCTTCCTCAGCAAAAAAAAAAAGAAAGAAAGAAATGAGCACCATTATAGGAAGAGCACAAGGGCTGGAATAGCTGACACTCCAAATATTCGTGCCACAAATGGGGAAACTGAGGCCCTCACGTCTACCCTTGCCCGCCCCTCCCTCTTCTTCCCAGTTGGAGAAAAAGGACAGCAGCCATTTCCAAAGAAGCATTTATTGACATCTGGGGCCCTGGCCGGGACAGAGAGGCAGGGGGTGCTACAGGCTCCTGAGGCCCAGGGCCAGGCCCGCGAGGCAGAGCCCGTTGCTCACGAGGCAGCCGAGATTGCAAACACTGGACAGACCGTGGTACTGGAAGAAGATCTGGCGGAGGGCGGCGTACTTGGGGTCCTGCCCCCGCAGCTGGCGGTAGGGGTCGGGGCCCTGGCGGCTGCCCGGCACCTCCCCGCCCAGGCCCCGCTCCTTCTCCACGGTCTGCAGGGCCCACATGGCAGCCGTGGTGCGGGGCTCCAGCCAGCGGGCGTTGATGGTGGCCAGCGTGAGGCTCAGGAGCAGCAGGCAGAGCTGGGGGGAGAAAAAGGTGAGCCACGCCTGGGAGGCAGGAGCGGCCCTAGGGAGTGTCCTTCTGCATCTCAAAGCCCAGAGAGAGATGGGGGACGGCCCTGGGTCAAACCCAGACTAGGGACCCCAAAAAGTCACCTCTCACACCCTGAAACTGGCTGCTCCTAAGAAAAGGCTCCTTCACCGTGTCCTCTATCCACCTAGAACCTTGTGAATATCCTCTCCTCTGATCCTAGAAGTTTCCAGAACACAGCCTTATCTCCTCTCCTCCTCTGTCCCCCAAAACTGAGAGTATCTCAGAGCAGAATCTCTTCCCCAAATTGGGACAAAGCACCATGACTGTCCCCTCATTCCCCCAAAACAGAGAGCCTCAGACAGGGCCTGTGTTCTCTAGGGCCCCAGCCCAGACCTCAGAAGCTGACGCTGGGCCCACAGGGAGGAAATAAAAAGTCCTCGAACTTCCAGTTACCCATAATCCTCTCCTGTCTCTGTGGGATTACTCTTGAAACACCTGACAGCCTCACCTGCTCCCATCTGAGGAATATAATGGGGGCAGGAGGAGGGCAGGATAGACCAACACTAGATGCAGAGAAGGTTCCTTGCCTTGTGGCTGAGAAGATGTGTGGATGGTGGGTAGGGGAGTGTAAATTCCCAGTCAGGCTGGTTTTTAAACAATGAGCTGGGGTCAGTGCCCCAGCCCAGCTGAGTCACCACAGCTTGGCAGCAGGCCCAGCCACGGGGAAGAGAGGGAGCAGCAGCCAGCAGAAGGACACTGGGGGACAGACAGGGCTGCCGGGGATGGTGGTACAGGCTGTGCACTGCTCAAGGGTATTCAGAGCCTAGTTTTGCATCCACCAGGAAGAAGGGGCAGTTTTTGTTTTTTTTTAAATTCTCACAAAAGTGTAGCTATAAGTGCTCAGTGGGGTCCCGGGAACAAGTCCCCAGAGGGTAGTGGAGCCCAAGCCCACATACCTGGCTGGCCTCCCAGAATGTGAGCTGAGCCCAGGCGCGCTGTGGAGCCAAGATGCAGAGGTTGACGAAGGCACAGGCCATGGAGATGTGAAAGTAGAAAGGAAAGAGTTTGCTCTGCACGAGGCCGAAGGTATGTCTGGGAACGCCTCGGAAAAGCACGAAGCCTGGGGGGTGCAGGGGATCACACACCTATTAGGACACTTCTAGGTCCCCCCTCATTCCTGTCCCCACCTGGGTACCCATGACGCCCAGGCCGAGGGTCCCTACCTGAGGCGAAGGTCACCCACATTTGCATGCCCCAGGCCCCGGACAAGACCAGTAGATGGACCACCTTAGTCAGGCTTCCCAAGTTCCCGCCTTCCTCCATCTTGCAGGCCTGGGAAGGAGGTAGCGGGTGGCTCAGAGCTTGACCTTGCCCCGTGGCCTTCGGACCCCGTGAGCCTGCTCAGGGTCGCAGCCAATCCAGCAGAGATCCAGGGAGAGCAGGCCAGGCATAGGGGCTGGGAAGGTCCAGAGCTGTCCTGTGACAACCCCTGACCCCGTCTCCCCAAATGTCAGCCCCCAAGATCTCAGGCTCTCTGGACCCCAACATCCATGCCACCTCCGAGATCCCCAAATTTCAGCCCCAGAAACTCAAGCTTGCAGCCCTAGGTTTTCAGAGATCACCCCAGTGGCTCCCAAATATCACCCCAGGGACCCACTTCGAACAGCAAAGACTCCTGCTCTCATAACAGGATCCCAGCTCTCACGACGAAGATCCCCAGAGCACTGCCAGAGACCCCATGTAATCCTGGGAAACCCCAAATCTCATCCCGGGGACACCGACCCCACCACTGGACGTCAACTCGCACCACCCAGGAGGCCGAGACCAGAGGCTGAATCTGGGGGGTCCAGGCGGGCTGAACTCCGTTCCTCACTCCCGCGCTCCCGAGTGGCCCGCGGGCCTCCTCGGTCACCTCCCCTCATGGGGCCAAGAACTCGTCCCGCCTCCCACCTAAGCCCGAAGCCAATCGGATCGCAGATCTGCCGCCTCCTGTACCGCCTCTTAGATATCGACTAATCAACTAGCGGAAACCAGCTGGAATCCCGCCCCCTCGCGGGCTTTTATCCAATTACAGCGCGGCTCCTGAGATCGCGGAAGCGGGAAGGCGCCAATGAGGCCTTGGGCTGCCTCGGCGGGGGCGGAGGTAAAATGCCAGCCACACCCCTCTCTGTGACTCTGCCTTTGAGCTCTGCGCGTTTTAATACGATGGTGTCCCCACGGGGTCAAATTTCAGCGTCACAGCTGGGGACTGGCTTCGCGGTCCCCGATGGGAGAGCAGGAGCAGGTGGTATGTGGTAGGTGGGGGTCGAAAGCGGTCGGGAGCCTGGCGGGCGCAGGATTCACGGCCTGGGGGGCGGGGCCCAGGCTAATGACCCCGCCCCCTTCCCTCCAGAATTCTCCCGGGACGGGCAAGGGAGGAACAGCTGATGTGGGCTCGACTGGGGACGCGCCTGCATTTGGCGCTCAGAAATGCGCCTTCCCTTTTCCCCTCCAAGCCTCCCAGGGCTCCCATGGTCCCCAGGTCCCAGGTTCTCGGCGTGACATCCAAGGACAAACACTGAGCTTCCCACTACCGTATGTCAGGCACTGGCATGGATTCATGTACTTAATCACAAGGACGCGTGAAGGTGGATAGTATGACATCCCATTTTTATAGTTGGGGAGGCACAGAGAGGTTCAGTAACTCTTCCAGCATCACACAGCTGGGAAGGGGCAGAGCTAGGATTTGAACCCAGGCTATCCAGCTGGAGGGTCTCCTTGCTTAATCATCATGCTGTACATGCTCACAGGATGTGAGGGCCTCCCTGAGGCAGTGACTCTTGAAGTGGTAGCCTAGAACATTTCAGGCAAAAGAATAACTCCTACACCCCAGGGTGGGTGTGAAGACCCGGTGAGTGCTTAGGGTGGTGCCCAGCACTCAGTAAAGTGCTCAGAAAATATGAGCTGAAAAAAGGATTAAGGAAGATTTTGCAGAGGAGATGCTGAATAGGGTTTTGAAGGGTGCATAGGAGTCTTCCAGGAGGTCTGGGCCGGGGGAAGGATACCAGAGGGCCTAGCAAGTGTGATATCTAGAAAAAGAGAAAGGCCTAGAGTGTGGCATTTCTGGTTGAGTGTGGCTAAGGATGAGATGCCCTTCACCTGGAAATTTTTCCAGGCAGCCCTGCCCCAGGTTTGTCCATCTGTGCCAGCCCTGACTACCCTGGAAAGGCAAGGAGTGTGAATGTGAGACACAGAGCTGAGTTCTTTCCTGTTCCCAGCCTCACCTAGCACAGGCCTGGGCCCCAATTCAGCTAATATTTATTGAATTGATAGGTCCTGCCTCTCTTGCTCACACTCTATGGCTCCCATCTACCTGGGGAGCCAGGTCCAAACTCCCCTGCCTGGCTTTCAGTGCCCCCTTGTGCTGCCCTGCCAACCTCCTGCTACTTCCTCTGGGACCCTGCCTCCAGCCATCCTGAATTTCCCAGCACTTGGTTCCACCTTCCAAGTGTGCACACGCTGCCTCCTGCCAGGAGCTCCCTTTCTGTAGGGCCAAATGTTAAGATCCTTTTTTTCTTGTAGGCTCTTCTGAGGCCTCACTTCCTCCTGTGGGGTCTTCTGAGTCCTTCTCACTGCCCAGCCCACCCCCTGGGGGCTGGGATCATCTTTCGTCCAGTTGGGGTTCCTATCCACAAGTGAGAGGCCCTGTGTTCAGAGCCGAGGCCTCTCTGGGGCATCAGGGAGGGTCTGGGAGTGTTGGGACATGGGGACTGGTCTCAGTGCAGCCCCCTGTCCCCCTCCTGGAAGCGACCCTCTTCTGGCCGGCCTGCCCCAGGACCCCGACTTCTCCAGGCCCTGCCTCTGCTCCCCTCCCTCACCCTCCAACGCGGGTTTACCTGCTAACAGGAAGAGTGACACGTACTCGGGTTTGTTGAGGGACTGCCCTGGGGGGTGGGGAGCAGGGAGGAGCTGGAGTGCTCTGGGCTGGCCCTCAGGAAGCCCCCCACTGTCCCCAGCCTCTTCCTCGGACAAGACCTTGGATTATATGGTTCACTGGTCCAGGACCCCGGAGCCAGACGCCTTGGGGCCGGCTGCTTCCGAGAACACAGTGACCAGTGGCGACTGGAAACCAGGGAGGGACTCGAGGCCTCGGTCGCACGGGTCTCCCCTTGTCCCCAACCCAGACTCACAGGAGCATTGTAATGACCAGGACCTTCTGAAGAGGCAACACAACGTCATCACTAAGGTCATTCCTACCTGGAAACCCCTTCCTGCCGCACTGCTGTAGGGCTTGCGGGGGGGAGGCTGTGGGGACAGAGGGGTCCTCCTCCAGAACCCTCCCATGGTGTGTCCTCAGCGCCCAGAATGGCGCCCAGCGCCCAGCAGGCTGGCACTAAAAGTGTCTTAAATGCATAGATGAAGGAATGAATGGAACAGACGTGTGCTTGGGTATCTTAGTGGGGTCTTGTCTGTGATTGTCTGTGGGTGTCACTGCCTGTGTGTGTGTGGTTGTGGTTGTGTGTCTGAGATGGGTGTGACTGGATGCCCTGGGTCTTATGACTTAGTGTGCATGGCTGTGTCTGAGGTTGTGTGCCTGTGTGGCTGGGGTTGTGTTTCAATGACCGTGTGTGGTTGTGTGTTATTGGTGTCCATTGCAAACGTTGTCAGTGTCCTTTGCCCCTAAGTAGGAGGGCCATTACCTGAGCCCAAGCCAGAGACGGGGCTCCACAGGGCGTGTGCTGTCAGGGGCAGCCCACAGGCCCACACAGGTAGGGGACAAGCCACACAAGTGCACTTCTGAGCATGTGCAGGCCAGGGGGGTGCATGCATGTGCCTAGAGGCAGCTTTACCTGCACTCCGGCTCTGGGACACTCAGAACTCAGCAGACCCAGCTCCTGTCCATACCCCCACACTGGGTTGGGGTGATCGGAGAGGCAGCCAGGGATGAATTTCTGCTGTCCCCCTTCTCTAGAAGCCCTTGGAGACCAACTCTTCCAAAGTCAAAGGTGAGAACCCTTCCTCCCAACAAGACCGTGTGCGGAAAGCCTGCCAGTTCCTACCTCCACCCTCTGCCTCCGTGTTGGCGGACCTCCGCCATTGCCACTCACTCATTCCTGCCCCTCGTCAGCTGACTTTTGCCCTTGCCCTTGCCCTCCATCCCTGTCTCTGACCTTGACCCCTACTCCTGTCTCTACCTCAGCCCTGGCAAACCTCCGCGGCTCCTTAAGTTGTCCCCTCGCCCTCCCCTGAGCCTCTGGTGACCTCTGCCCTGCTCTTGCCCCTGCCCCCACCCCCCCAGCCTCTGCTGACCCTCACCTCTGCCCACAGTTAAGTCCCTCATGATGATTCCCGACTCGCAGAAGCTCCTGCGATGCGAGCTGGAGTCCCTCAAGACCCAGCTACAGGCCCAGACCAAGGTGAGCCGCCTCGGCCTGGCCCCCGGCAACCTCTGCCCCTGCCCCCCCCACTCCTGTCCCTAGGCCTGACCTCTGCCCCCAGGCTTTCGAGTTCCTAAACCACTCAGTGACCATGCTGGAGAAGGAGAGCTGTCTGCAGCAGATCAAGATCCAACAGCTTGAAGGTAAGGACGGGCCGAGGGTCAAGGGCAGGCTGGAGGCTGCTCAGCCGGGTCAGGGTGAGAGAAGTCGGGTGAGTCTGGGTTCGGAGTCGGGGTCGGCCAGGGTTAGGGCGAGCTGGGTTTAAAGCTGGGTTCAGCATGTGGTTGGGGCTCAGGCAGGGTCCTACCCGATCTGCAGAGGTGCTGAGCCCCCTGAACCACCAGACGGACAAGGAAGGTCACAAGTGGGGCACGGAGCAGGGCCGGGAGGAGCTGTATGGGGCGCTGGCGCAAGGTCTGCAGGGGCTGCGGAAGACCCTCCGGGACAGTGAGGAGGGGCAGCGGGCCCGCACCACCCGCTGCCTGCAGCTGCTGGCCCAGGAGATCCGGGACAGGTGGGCGATGCCCGGAGGGCAGCCTGGAGGTTGCGGGAGGGAAGGGAGGCCAGGGAGAGGGAACTGAGGGCGGGGTGCAGGACACGGCAGAGGCCTGGGGAAGGGGGACTGGGGGGCCCTGGAAGGCCTGGGGGCTAAGAGGAAGGGAAGGAGGGAGACGGGAGGCAGTGGGGGAGATGCGGGAGACTGGGAGGCCAGAAGGCAGGGAAGACAGGGAGCGGGGGGTGGGGGTGGGATGGGGAGGGAGGCCAGGGGGTGGCGTGGGAAGCTGGAGGGAGGGGAGGTTGATGGGGGCAGATGCTGGGGGTGTGGGGGGTCGGGGGGAGCAGAAGACGGGGAGATGGAGGCCAGGATGAGAGATGGGTGCTTGAAAAGACTCCGATCTGTTGAGGAGGCAGGCAGGCAAATGGGAGCCAGGGGCTGGGCGGGGCGTGTGGGTCCAAGCTGCACTGTCCCCTCAGCAAGAAGTTCCTGTGGGAGGAGCTGGAGCTGCTGCGGGAGGAGGTGACCTTCATCTATCAAAAGCTTCGTGAGTGCCTGGAGCCCACAGCCAGGAGGGGGAGTCCTTCTGCTGCCCCGGCCCCCCTGAGTCCCCTCCCCCTACAGAGGCGCAGGAGGAGGAGATCACAGACAACCTGGTGAACATCCAGAAGATGCAGAAGACGCAGGTGAAGTGCCGCAAGGTGAGTGGACGGGACGAGCACCCTGCGTGAGTTGGGGGTGTGGGGACCTCTGCTGGCCTCCACCGTTGGACTGGAGCCAGAAGGCCTGGGTTCAAATCTCAGCTCTGCCGCTTACTGCTGTGTGACTGTGGGCAAGTTTCTTTGCCTCTCTGGGCCTCAATGTCCTCATCTGTATAATGGGCGTAACAACACATCCCTACCTGAAGGTGCATGTAGCAAGTGCTGTGGAATGGTCACCTGTCACCAGCATCATCATTACTATTGCTCTCCTCTCGTCCCCCCGGCCCCAGGTCCTGACTAAGATAAAGCAGCAGGGGTGTGAGACATCCAGCTGGCCAGAGACCGAGCAGATGCCACCAGGAGGCAATGGCTCCTGGAGGGATGACCTCCAGAAGGAGCTGAGTGACATATGGTGATGCCCAGCTCCTCTGTCACCTCTGAAACCCGACCCTCATCTGCCCCACCCTCCCCCAATCAAATCAAGCAGCAACCACCCGAACCTGGAACCCATCTTAGTCCAGACCTCTCTCTCCTCTGCCCCTGCCCCCACTACAGCCCCCTACCCCAGCCCTGAACAGTCCAGAGTCCCCTGGGACCCCCAGCTCCCCAGCTCCCCATCTCCCCACCTCCCCACAGGTCCGCTGTGCACGTGCTGCAAAACTCCTTTGACAGCCTCACCCTGTCCTCGGGGGGCCACCCCAGGGCCGCAAGCCTCAGAGGTGAGGGGTCATTCTCCAGCTTCATGCATGGCGGTCACGTTCAGAAGCCATATTTGGGGGGCACATCTGTTGGGTCTTATTCTGGGGTCACCTTAAGGAGTCCCTGGAGGTTTCATCCAAGGGTCACTCAGGGTCACTGGGATCTTTGTAAAGATCAATGGGGTCAAATTCAAGGGTCATTGAGGTCGTATTTGTTGGCACATTGGGTCACATTCAAGGGACACTGGTTTATATTCAGAGGCCACTCAAAGGTCGTATTCTGGGTTCAAGCATGAAGGGTCAGAATGGCACCTATCCCTCCTACAGGCTACAAGGGACACCGATGCCTGAGCCCACCACTTCCCTCCTGGGACTCAGACTCGGAATCTGACCCGGACCCTTCCCAGGCACGGTTCAGCAAGAACCGCTCCTTCCCACCTGGTGCGGATCCTCCTCTGCCCCACCCATCCTTCCCCTCCTGGCCTGCCCTGCAGTCCCACAGTCTGCACCCTCCCAGCTCCCAACCTGGCGTCTGCTCCCTCACCTCCAGCCCTGGGGTCCCCGGGACCAGGCCAGGCTCCGACCCGCCCTCTGTCTCCACAGCCTGAGCAGCCGGGACTGCTCTCCCCGAAGACCCCTCCAGAGAGAAAATAAACTAGCCGAGACCTTCCTCCACCGTGGACTGTTGCTCCTGCTGTGCCTGTGCCTGGGAACGACCCCCCCACCCCCACCGGTTTACTCCCCAGTGTTGGGGAGCGTGCAGAGACCACAGGGCCTGTTCGGGATGTCTGGGCCTGGGGTCAGGGGACAGTGTGAGGCTAGATTTAGTACATGACAAGATCAGAGGGCAGTCTGTCCAGATATGATGGACCAGACTAGCCACCAGCCTTCCTTTCTGGGGGGCCCTGGCGATCTGGCCTGCTGGCCCTGCTGCCCAAATGGGGGAACTGAGGTCCAGGGAGGTCTCGGCCCAGGGTCACGCTCTGACAGCCCGCCCTCCTCTTCCCCTCAGCCTCCCCCCACAGCCCAGGGTCCTCCCTGTCAACCTCCGTTCTTCATTCTCTCCCGAATCTGTTCTAACGCGCCCCGCCCAGAGAGCAGCCTAGGCCCCGCCCCGGATTACGCTAATAAGGCGCTGCGAGGCCCCGCCCCACGGGGTATGCAAATAAGGCGCCTGGAGACCCCGCCCCTCGGCCAGCCGCTGAGTCTGCGCGGCGCGGGCGGCACGGCCCTCGGCCTCTCCATCTCTCCGTCCGCACAGCGGGCCGGCTGGCTGTCTGTCCGTCCCGCCGCGCCGGGGCTGTCTAGGCGGAGTCGGGGCTCAGGCGGCGGCAGCCTCGACCCGGTGAGGGGGAGGGGCGTGGGGCGACCCCTGCACCCCATCTCGCGGGCTCCTGATCCCCGGTCTGTCTGTCTGTCCGGCCGGGGTTCGGTCCCCTGCAGGTCCAGCGCGGGGAGGGGGAGGGGAGGCGGCGAGCTGGGGCTGGCGGAGGGGAGTGTGGGGAGGGGACCCCAGCCGGGGTCTTGAGAAGCCAGGCGGCGGTGGGGAGGGTGACTGTGATTATGTGGTTGTCATTAGGTGTCAGTGTGTGGTTGTGTAACTGTCACTGTGTGGCTTCGGGGGTGTCCGTGTGGTGTGTGTGTGTGCTTGTGTCTCCTGTGGCTGTCATTGTGTGGCTGTTGTCGTGGGTATCACCCTGCGGGTGTGTGTGTGGCTGTGTTGTATTACTGCTCTCACCGTGACTGTGTGGCTGTCTTGGTGTCTGGATGGCTGTGTGCCTATGACTGTCGTGATGTGGCTGCTGTGGTGTGTTCCTTCTGATGGTGTGCGGGGCCCGTTTTTGTGTTCCGATGTGTGGCTGTGTGGTTCTGTGTGTGAGTCTGTCATGGTCCACGTTTGTGCCCTTGGGTGGCCATGTGGCTGAGGTTGTGGATGGCACCGTGTCTACCTATGTCTGTCAGTGTGGACGAGAGACTGTTAACGTGTGTGGCTGTCACTGAGTGCCTTGTAACGGGGGGTGTGATGCTGTGGCCGGTTCTGTGACCCCCATTGTGTGTGGTGCCTCTCTTTTTGATGTGCCTCTTAAGTGTGTTGACAGCCCTAGGTCTATGTCCCTGACGGTGGTGGGGTGAGGGCTCGTGTGGGGCGGTATGTGGGGCTTCGAGGTGTGTGAAGGACCTCCTGTTGTGCCCCTGTGACTGTGTGTGTGTGGGGGGTTAGTTGTTTGATCTGTGTGGGTGTCTGTGACAGGCCGTGTGCACACTGTGCCGTGTGTGTGTGTGAGTGTGGTATTTGAGATGGAGGCTGTGGCTGAGTTGTGAACTCTGGGGGTGCCAGCGTGTCTGATTGTGTCTCTGGGAGGGTCAGGGGGCTGTGGCCAGGTGGGCACCTGGGATCTCTGGCGACCCTCACCCCCTATGTCACACCTCAGAGCAAGCTGCGTGGATGGGGCACTGGATGCAGAGCGCCTGGGGGCCTCAGGTTCCACATCTGTGCAATGGGGGTGACCATCCCTGCCCTGCCGGCCGCCAGGAGCGGCTGTGAGTCTGTGGGTGTGGCGGCGGCCTGTGGGAAGCCATAGGGCCCTTTCACAGGTGAGCTCAGCTGGGAGAATGGGTCAGGCAGCTGGGACTGTGTTGGCCCCTCTGTGCTGGACTTGGGGGAGGGGGAGCACGTGGGGGGGAGATACATCCAGGGAGGCAGACGGGCTGGGAGGAGGGGGAAGGAAGGAGAGAGGGAGAGGCAGCTGGGCGAGAAGGAGGGCCCGGCCATCAGCCCGAACCAGTCAGGCTCATCCCATGGGTGCTGGAGAGAGGTGCGCCTGCGGGCCGTGGGGGGAGGCTCCTGGCGGGGGTGGGGGACACAGAGCATGGGGTCCCCTGTAAAGCGTGTTGGGAAAGAGGATGGGGTCCCCTAAAAACTAGTGGTGGGGAGGACCCTTCTAAATGGACCTTTCTCTCTGGGGGAGGGGTCCCCATTAAGCTGGAGAAGTCTTCTGAAGGCCGAGGGGAGGGGTGCCGCTTGGTAAGGGGGACAGGCCTTCCTAAAAGGTATGGGGTGGGAATCTCTGATGTAGGCTGTGGGGGGAGAAGACCGCTATAGAATCGGGGGTCCCGGGCAGAGGCTGAGCTGAGCCGGTTGTTCAGGGGAGGCCGGTGCTTGAATGGGCAGGGGCGTGGCCAGAAGGCTCAGGGGGCGGGGCCCGGGCTGCGTGGTAGTAGTGCGTGGGGCCGGGGGTGTGGCCAGAGGACTTCGCCCCGCCCTGGCGGCCCCACTCCCTCCCCACCTCCGCAGGCCCGGCCTTCACCATGGCGGGAGGGAGACCGCAGCTGAAGAGGAGTTTCTCCATCATTCCCTGCTTTGTCTTTGTGGAGGTGAGGAGCCCGGTATCCCCCAGACTGCCAGGGGGAGGAGGCGCATTCAGAAGTGTCAGTCCGGGGCTCCAACCCCGCTCTGCCCATCCTTACTGCGGGGGCCTCACGTACCCTCCTGAGCCTCAGTTTCCTCATCTGTCAAATGGGCATAATTAGAGTCCCTCTCTCCTACGGCTGTTATGAAGGTAAAATGTATTAATTCGGGGAAGAGGTTTAGTATGACGCCCCGGCCACAGTAAGGGTTATACCTGTGGGAGCTGCCCCTGACCCTTCTCTCGCCCCCCTTCCCCTCTTCTCTCTGTCTCTCTCTGTCTTTTGATCTCCTTCAGTCTTGATCTCTCTGTCTCTCTCTCCCTTGTCTCTGTCTCTCTCCATCTCTGTCTCTGTCTCTGTGGCCCCGGCTTGGGCCTGACCCTCTCTCTTCTCTGTCTGTCTCTCTTTCCCGGCCCTGGCTGGGCGGCAGTCGGTGCTTCTGGGCGTCGTGGTCCTGCTCGCTTACCGCCTGGAGTTCACAGACACCTTCCCCGTGCACACCCAGGGCTTCTTCTGCTATGACAGTACCTACGCCAAGCCCTACCCCGGGCCTGAGGCTGCCAGCCGAGCGCCTCCCGCACTCATCTATGCCCTGGTCACTGCTGGGCCCACCCTCACGGTGAGACAGCGGGTAGCCTGGGTCAGACTGTGGGGAGGACCTCCCAGGAGGCACCAGGGCCAGGTGGTGGTGGGCCAAGGGCTGGGCTTGAAGGCCAGGAAGACCCCGCCTTGGTCTTGCCCACAGATCCTGCTGGGGGAGCTGGCGCGTGCCTTTTTCCCAGCGCCACCTTCCACCATCCCCATCATCGGGGAGAGCACCATCGTGTCTGGGGCCTGCTGCCGCTTCAGCCCCCCGCTGCGGAGGCTGGTCCGCTTCCTGGGTGAGTGACGCAGCCAGGGGTCAGAGAGATGTAAGCCAGGCTCAGCCATTATAAGAATTCCAGGGGGAAGAGGGCCTAGAATTGCCAGGATGGCGACTTCAAGGGGCAAAGAGGACTTGGGCTCAGGCCAGACATAGTGGAGGTTTTAGGGACACGTGGGACCTAAACCAACCATAATGGCAGCTGTAAGAGGAGGTCCCCAAATTGCCACAAGGAGAGTCTCAGGCGGAAAAGGGGGACACAGGTGCAGGCCAAACAGCAGGGGCCCTGGAGCAGGAGATGAGCCCCCAGCTGTGCTTCAGAGTGGTCCCAGCCGCAAGGGGTGGCCGTGGGCTAGGGGAGGGGCAGAGCTCATCCTAACAGTGATCCCTGCGGCAGAGGGTGGGGGATCCAGCTCTTCCTGATCAGTGATCCAGGGGAAGTGTGATCAACTCAGTAATAGCGAGTCCAGGGGCAGGTATAAAGAAGCCCAGAAATGCCATCCGGGGTGTCCTAGGAGGTCCTGGCATGGGCCCGATCCTGATGTAACGCTGTTGAGGGGTCCCAGCCCAGCTGTAATGGGGTTCCAGGGAGGGCCCACTCCTGACATAGTGGTAATCCCAGAGGGACAGAGGCAGGGGTACTGTAATGAGGGTCCCAGGGGCGAGAGGCCCAGAGTGCCATCATGGTGGTCCCGAGGGAAGAGGACCGTAGACAAGAGGCCCAGATGGGCCATAAAGGGGCTCACAGGAGGAGGGTCACTGGGGCATCAGGGCCCAGGCATGAACCCCCTCCCCCACCCCACCCCAGGGGTCTACTCCTTTGGCCTCTTCACCACGACCATCTTCGCCAACGCGGGACAGGTGGTAACCGGTAACCCCACGCCGCACTTCCTGTCCGTGTGCCGCCCCAACTACACGGCCCTGGGCTGCCCGCCGCCCTCGCCCGACCGGCCGGGGCCCGACCGCTTCGTCACCGACCAGGGTGCCTGCGCCGGCAGCCCCAGCCTGGTGGCCGCTGCGCGCCGCGCCTTCCCCTGCAAGGACGCGGCCCTTTGCGCCTACGCGGTCACCTACACAGCGGTGAGCCCCGAATTGGAGGCGCGGCGGTGGGGGGTGCCCGGTGGGCAGGAGGCCACCTGGGCTGGAGTCTCCAGTTCCCCCGCGGGGTGAGGCCACGCCCCGCGCTGTGACTCCGCCCCCAGGGCGGAGTCTACCGCCTGGAGACCCTGGCTCCTCCCCTCGGATCCTGGCCACGCCCCCGAGTCTGATGTGCTGTTTTGGACTGCCCCTTGGTGTCTGGCCACGCTTCCTGACGCAGTAATGCCACGCCCGAGGAGCCTGTTGGCTCCGCCCTGTGGGACCAGGATACCTTCCCTGGAGCCTAGCCATGTCCCCAGGATGCTACAGGTCCTGGATAATGGCTGGGAGACTGGGCGGGGGGGCTTTCAGCTCCGCCCCCCTGGGGTCTTCATCCCGCCCCATCCTCGCCCTTCATTGACCTGGCCACACGCCTGACTCTACTCGGCTGGGACTTCATGACTCTGTCCCTGCTCTTCCCTGGTCGCGTCTC